TAAACAATATATCTTTAAGACTTAAATAATGTTACTGTATGATATAAACACATACTATATTAGAACTTTGGAGCAAAGATAGAAAATCTATATTTCTCTGCTCCCAGTTTGTGTGTTGAAGTCATTCCTTTTTATTTTACCTTTGTCACTGCATGTATGTGTGTGTGTGTAAATACATATACATATACATATATGTATATAATGTATATGTAGCCATATATACAAGATCACATATATAATACCATTGTTACTGCTTTTGTTTAAACTTTTGATTATATATATATATATATTTTTTTAAAGATTTATTTATTTGTACATACAGAACTGGGGTACAGGCCAGAGGCTCAGGGGCGGTGAGAGGCTTCACCAAAGACAGAGTGGGGTACAGAACAGGCAGACAGACGAAGTACACTGCTGAGGGGAGCAGCGGGCGGGTCAGGAGAGGTCTGCCACGCCATGTGGTCACCTCTGGGGCAGGCGGGAATCGAACTCATGCGGAAGCGGCTTTAGATTCTCAATGCTGTGCTTTAACCCGCTGCGCCACCAGGGAGGGCCCTAAACTTTTGATTATATTTTAAAGTGTATAGAATTTAAAGTTTAAAAATATGCTTGCCAATTTATTTCCTATTTCTGTTGTTCTTTTGTCCTTTGTTTATATTCATACTACAATCTGGTGTCATTTTTCTTCTGCCTGCATGGTTTTCTTTTAGCACTTCTTTTATTACATATTTATGCTTACTTTGTTTTGTTGATTACTTATTTTGTTTTTTGTGTTTCTGAAAAGGTTTGTATTTTGCTTAATATTTGAAAGCTATTTTTGCTAGATTGACATTTTTTCTTTCACTACTTTAAAAGTGTTGATCCATCGTTTTACAATGCTTCTAACAGAATATCAACTGTAATATCTTCTAGGAATGTGTCCATCACATTCTTTAACATTTGTCAAAGATGAATAGGTATATAAAGAATTTAAGACATCATTCAATAAATAAAAGAAACATATATGGAAAAACTTAAACATATTCAGTTATAAAATAGATCAATATGGCAAATTACCAAATTAAAAATGAAAAGCAGTGCATGTTTGAAAAGTCTAGCAGGAAATTAGAACTCTGTAGACTAAAATAACAGATTAAAAAAAACCCAGAAATTTCAGAAACAAAAGTTCAATATAAAAATGAAGAACTTAGTGGGTAGTGTCCTAGCAGGAACATAGTACAGCCAAAGACAACATTTTTGCACTAGACGGTCATTTGGAGCAAATTATGAGAAATACAGATAGAAAAACCAAAAAAAGATTGAAAAATGGAGAAGGGTATATATACTTTTTGCCCAGAAAAAAGTGCAGATTTGGAACATTAAACGTAGGCAGGATAAGGAAAATACAAATTGCATATTAAAGCTTTTAGCACAGTGACTAGATAAATTACTAACAGCTCTAAAATTTTCTTCTGCAGTATCTTACTTTTCTGGTGAAGAAGTGGATGCTCTCATTTACATTGCAGGGGGAGTGTGCACTGCCACTACTGTGGGTTCACACCAAAGGTGAAGCTAGATTAGATGAGCAAGAAGCATTAAACAAAGATGAAGTTTTAAAACCATTCTTAAAAGATTTTAAATAAGCAGAGGTTGAACAAAGCTAAGTAATGTTAAACAAAACAGAAAACACTTAAAATACTGATCGGGACTTTATTACCTTTCTGGTGAGTGTTCCGAGCTTGTGTCCATGTCCAGGATTCATGTGGCACATAAGTAGGTCAGGAAACAGACTCTTCCAAGAAGATCCATGTCTAGAACTGGACAGGACACAGATAATACCAAAGTGTAGCCAAACACTTAGAAATAGTGTATAATGTAGCCACACAAATCTAACCCCATTATAATATCTTTAAAATGATTTCTAACAGTCTTAAAAAAAACATTTCCTGGCCCTCCCTGGTGGCACAGCGGGTTAAAGCACAGCACTAAGAAGCTAAAGCCACTTCCGCATAAGTTCAATCCACACCTGCCCCGGAGGTGATCCACATGGTGTGGCAGACCTCTCCTGGCCCGCCTGCTGCTCCCCTCAGCAGTGTACTTCATCGATCTGCCTGTTCTGCTCCCCACTCTGTCTTTGATGAATCCTCTCACAGCATTTGCACCTCTGGCCTTTACTCCAGTTCTGTATGCATAAGTAAATAAATCTTTAAAAATAAAGAATTTTCTTTGGGCACAGAGAACATGGTAAGATCATCAAATGGGAGTCAAGCATTTGTTTAAAATAACAACTGCAGTGTTTCTTTAGTTTGGGGTATCATAAAGAATGTAATTGGGAATAGAAAAATCTATACTATACAGTAAGAACTAATGTACATTATCACATGACAACTTATAATGTCTTCAAAATAATGATTTCAACTTTCACTTCTGCACTAGAAAATGTTAAAAAAAAAAAAAGCCTTTAGCCAGATGTAACTAAGGGAATGGTTTTGTTTCTAGTTCTAATTATATTCCGTTTCCTTGTTCATGATGCACCTAATTCTTTTCTAGATGCTGCAAAGGTCTTCTCTGATGGTTGTTTCCTAATACTGGCTCTATTATTATTATTAATAACATTTATGCAAATTTAATTGTTGTTGTCTTCTTTATGATTGTTCAGAAGTTTCATTTTCTAGCCCAGATTATCATCTGAACAGCTTTCACACCTTCATCCCTTCATATTATCCTATAATGGTGAAACTCAAGAATGAATAAATATAATAGAAATAATTCCTGGAATCAGTCTATTAATATCTAACCCTTATAAACTAAACTTTTTTTTTTAAGATTTATTTATTTATGCATACAGAACTGGGATACAGTTCTGGACCAGAGGAGCAGAGGCTGTGGGAGAGACAGAGTAGGAAGCAAAACAGGCAGATCGACAAAGTACACTGCTGAGGGAGCAGTGGGTGAGATACACGAGGTCTGCTTGGCCATGTGGATCACCTCTGGGGCAGGGATTGAACACACACTGACGTGTCTGTGGCTAGCTTGCGGTGCTGTGTTCTAACCCTTTGCCCCACCATAGAGGACCTAAACTAAACTTTTTAATCATTGGATTACCAAACACAAAAATAGGATGCTGATTTCCTAAATAAAAACACCTTGAAGGATGGTGTTATCTTTCTCTCATTTTTTGCATTTCTATTACTAAACACAATGTGGTGTGGAGGAGCTAATCAATCAATGTTGAATAAAGGAAAAAATGAATAAATGAAACAACCCTTTATCAATTTTGAAAAGTATAATCAATGTGCTTATATATTTTGTTTTTTCAGCTGTAGAAACGCAAGATGAAGCTTATTCTGTGCAGTTCTAAAAACTGCAGTATTATTAATGTGCTCTATATGTATTCTTAGATATTAAAATTCACACTGTAACACACATGGTGGATTCAAAGCATTTTAGGGAGTCATATCAGCTCATTTTGATAGTCGCACTATATTTTATTCAGTGAAGGCTATAATTTCCAACAATCTCATTCCTATTTTCATAGCCTAAGATACAGATAGGATGTGAATGGTGTCAACTCATTAACTGCCGTTTTTTTAACCCAACTAATTCTTTTCTTGGATTTAATTCAACTGGAATTTCAACAAAATAGAAAAATACTGATTTGAGTTTTCATTTTGATTTAAATTAAAACTATTCCAAATGAGACTTCTGTTCTGGATTTGATTCAACTCTCCCAGCTCAAGGATAAGTATTAATTTTAGTTTAGTAATTTTGAATTGAATCTCAGATAGAAAGCAATTTCAGAGTACTTGTCTGATGATTTTTTTTTGTATGAACATGCTTTCTTTTTTTTTTCCCTAATAGACAAAAGTAAAAATTCTTTATAAAAATCTAACATGCCTGAGTATTTCCATGAATTTTGTTCTGCTTAGAATATGTATTGATTTCTTCAGAATACAATTCTTAGCTTTTGTTGAGAAAAAAAAATCAACATTATATTTAATACAGGATATTTCAGGACTGGTAGAAAGACCTTATATTGCAGATATGTCCTTGCACTATAGCAAAAATGAATTGACTATACAGCCTTTGTAGATGTTCCTCTTTACAAAGCACTATTTCTAAAATTAAAAAAAAATGATGGAAATGGAATAAAATAGCAACCTGCATTGCTGAACAATTTCCATAGTTCTCTAGTAGATTGTTACTGAAAAATTTTATAGAACATTTTGTTACTTATTCTGTAGCTGTGCTATTTTATTTTAATTTAGTACTGTCATGTGAATGATAAGCAGTCAAGGCTGAAAATTTCCTGCTTTGCAATTCTCTGAATGTTAATAATTATACTAATTAGCAATTCACAACAAACAGGTCTCAGTCACATTGAATCATTTCTACCACACTCACCACAATTTTAACATCATGAGTAAATTTCATGCTACTGTTGTCTTAGAAATGCTCTTCCATGAACAAAACTCCTCCCTAAATCCATTCAGGTCTGAAAGAAAGCACAGATCAGTGGGATGTAAACAAAAACAAAAAATTATCTTCTCTTTAAGGAAGACATTTCTATCTTCAATTCACATCCTTTAATTATCTATCAAATGAGTGAGGCCTCTCGTATTCAGTTTAATGTGGATCATTCAACCATCTAACTTAGCAAAAAATAACTGCCTGAAAAATTCACTAGCATATACCATATTGGGGAAACAATTCTCATATGGCTGGAAGCTGGAATGGCCAAATAATTTAGTCTTTAACAGCTAAAATTCTGAAATAACTAGATGAAATGTTCTCCTTTCACTTGTATAGCTGGATAACTCCGACCCATCCTATGCAATATAGAACTGTCACTATATCTTGAAAAAACTTTTGATTACTTTCCCCACCACACCACCCCTTCACCTAGACCTAGATCACTGTACCTATTTTCTCCCACTCCGGCCTATGTTCATCTTAGTAAGTTACAGTTTTGGCTGTTTCAACACTGCTTTTATAAATCTTGCTTTTCCTTTTCTTTTTAGTATTTTGAACTTTTTGAGATCTACCACTGTCTCCTCAGTAGCCAGCAAACTCCTCGTACAGAGGTAGGTGCACAGTGGTTATTGCATGAATTTGAAAGTCAAATATAACTTGACCATTGTCTTCCATTAATTTATTCATCACTTATCACACAAATATTTGAGTGCCTGCTATGTGCCGGGAGGATATTATACCATTTATGGAGATAACACCGTGGGTGGCATGTGAACTTAGGTGAATTTAGAATGATTCAGTATTTCTACACTCTGATCTGTCCCCTTCAAGTATACTGCCCACCTGCACTTACAACATACATATGTTAGTCTTTATTTTTTTAATGGGAAAGTGAAACTAATTTCATTGCACCCATTTAATTAGAGCTCCGGTGTTGATTAAGAAAGACAATGTGGGCCTTCCTGGTGGCAAGGGGTTAAGTCCCAGTGCTATCACCAATAATGCCTGAGTTTGATCCCCCACTAGGGAGCCAACCCATATGTGGTGCAACAGACCTCTCCCGACCCACCCACTGCTCCCCTCAACAGTGTGTTTCAGTAGATCTGCCTGTTCAGCTCCCCACTCTGTCTCTGGTGAACCCTCTCAATCCCCACATCTCTAGCCAGTTCCATGAAAAAAGAAATGACATTAAAAAAGAGACAGATGATGCAGCACCTCCCCTCCTGACCTGTCCAAAGCATGCATGCTGTTTAAATTCCCCAACAATTGATGGTCAGACCTTTGTTCAGCACTCACCATGGGCCTGGGCCTCACTTTTAGTGCTTGGGAAACAGCAAGAAAAAAGCAGCACTATTACAGAGCTTATGAAAGTCTAGTTACTACAGCAAGCATTTTACAAATGCTTATTTTTCTCCTTTTGAACAGCCTTATTAAAATATAATTGGTTATGACAAATTGTGCATGTTAAAAAAGTAAACTTTTAAAGTCAACTTAAGACAATGGGCATATGCATCGTGACAGAAATTTTCCTATGCCACTTAGCATGTCCTCCTTCAGACCCTCCAGGATGCCCCATTCCTTTTCATACTCCTTAGTCCTCACTTAATCATTGTTCTACTTCCTACATTATTAATACTTTGAATTTTCTAGAATTTCATAAAAATAGAATCAGAGTGTGTTTTCACTCTATATAGTTATTTTGTGATTCATCCATGTTCATGATACATGTCAGTGGTTCCTTCCTGTTACTTATTGAACAGTTTTCCACAGTATCAATATAATGAGATTTATTTATCCTTCATTTCTTATTAGGTAGCTTTTTTTTTTTCATTATGCAGTAATTATAACTAAAGCTATCTAGTTCTTTCATGAAGTAAATATGCTTTTATTTCTTTTGGTTAAATCCTTAGAAGTAGAATGGCTAAGTCATATGGCAGGTGTAAGATTTTTAAGAAAATGAATAGTAGTGGGACTATGGGTGTGTGACTGTGGTAGTAACATATATTTGAAGAGATGTGAACTATACTTCTGAATCATGTAATGTTATAAAGTTACCTCAGTGAAAAAATAAAATAAATGAGAAACTGCCAAAGGGTTTTGTAGAATGGTCCAACATTTGTATTCCTGCCAAATAGGAGATTTTCAGTTGCTCTATGTGTTTGCTAACACTTGCCCATTTCAGACTTTGAAATTTAAGTCATTGTATCAAGGATGTAATAGAAACTCAGTGTGGCTTTCATTTGCATACCTTAATGAGTAATGATGTTGAATGCTTTTATGCTAATTGTTTTCTGTCTGTAGAGTTTTTTTTCTTTGTGTAAAATGAATAATTGGCATTAATTTTTATTAGTTTGGGATAGTTTTTTTTTTTTTTAACTTATTTCCCTACAGATAGGGTGTAATCTCTGTGGCTCTCCACCACCACAGCACCCATGATCCACCACAGCACCCATGATCCATCCATCTTCCCTGATTTAACCCTTCCCTCTCCCCCTCTCCTTCTGTGACTTATGGTCAGCATGCAAGTTTTGTCTTTTTCTTGACCATTTGTTCAGTGTCTCTGTAATCCCCACATAAGCAAAAACATCCTATACCTATTTTTTTTCCCTCTGACTTATTTTACTTAGCACGGCTCCTTCCACATTGCCTCAGATGGCGTGAGTTTATCTTTTCTTTGATCACTGAGTAATATTTCACAGTGTATATGTACCACATTTTCTTTATCCTCTCGTCTGTTTAGGCACATTTATGTTGCTTTCATATCTTAGCTATTCTAAGTAGTGCTGTGGTATAGTTTTAGCTATTTCATATGATGGTTTGATGTATCATGATATGTGTGTGCTATAATATGATTACCATAATTACTACTTAACATGCCTCACCACCCATACTTTCACCCCCACCCTTCTCCCTCTACTAACCTCAGATATAGTGTCATATTTATAGGGGTTTTTTTGGTATTATTTCTCTCTATATATTTTTCTTATTCTTTTTTCTCTCTATAGTCTACATATGAGTTAAAGCATATAACATTTGCCTTTCTCCTTCTGACTTATTTTGCTTAGAATAATCCCCTCCAATTCCACCCATATTGTCACAAATGGCAAGAGTTCATCTCTGTTACAGTTTAGTAGTATTCTCCTGTGTAGATATACTGTGTTTTCTTAAGCCACTGCTCTCTAAATGGGTATTTAGTTTGTTTCCATACTTGGCGGTTGTAAACAATTTTGTAATAAACATAGAAATACATATCTCCCTCTGTGTTCGTGAATTTGTATTCTACAAGTAGATATAAGAACTGGGGTATAGGCCAAAGATGTGGGATAAGGCAGTGGTGGTGAGAGAGTTCACCAGAAATAGAGTGGGGAGCAATTGAATGGCTAGATTGAAATACACTGCTGAGGGGAGCAGCAGGCAAGACAGGAGAGGTCTACTGCTCCCTGGCCAGGGATCAAACTCATGTTGCAGTGGCTGTAGGTTGCTTCAGGGTGCTGCACTTTAACCTATTGTACCACCAGGGAGGGCCCCATATGATCTATTTTTTTTTTTTATTTTGAGAAACCTCCATACTCTTTTCCATAAGGCTGAGCCAGTCTACCCTCCTGCAACAGGGTATGAGGGTTTCTCTTTCTTCATACTCGCACCAATCCTTGTTTAGTTTTGTTTTTGCTTTTTGATATGGGCCTTTCTCACTGGAATGAGATACTATCTCAGTGAGGTTTTGATTTCCCTAGTGATAAGTGATGTTGAACATTTTTTCATGTGCCTCTTGGCTTTGAAGAAGTGTCTGTTTAGATTTTCTACCCATTATTTGATTGAGTTTTTTTTTTTTTCCTTTTTGTTGAATTGCATGAGTTCTCTGTAGTCCAAGGATATTAACTTTGTATGGGGCAAATGATGTGCAAGTAATTTCTTCCACTCTGTAGGGTGTCTTCCTGTTTTAATGATAGTTTCTTTTGCTTTACAGAAATTTTTTGTTGTTTGTTTGCTATTAACTCATTCACTTATTTTTGTTTTTCTTTATCTTGTCATTTAGTCCTGAAAGACATCCACAAAATCAATGTCCTGGTGTGTCTTGTCTATGTTTTCTTCTATGTAATTAATGGTTTCCAGTCATATATCCAAGTCTTTAATCCATTTTGAGTTCACTTTTGTATATGATGTAAGAGAGTATTCTACTTTCATTTTTCCAACTCTCCTTTTTGAAAATTAATTTTTGCCCATATTTTTCTATTATAAATACCATTGCATTGAAATTCCTTATAACTATCTGAATTTTCTGATAATTTCAGTAGAACAAATTATAATTATTGTCACCTTACCACCACCCAAAAATAGAGAGGTACTAGGTACAATAATTTTTGAAGATTGCCTTCCTTGGGTGGGACTTCAGACTGAACAGACGAGGTTCACTGCTAGAGATAGATGAGATGAGGTGAATGACAAGCTGCCTGTTTGACAGTTTTATTACAGAGTTCCTCGTCCTTTACAGAGAGTTGTATAGAGTTGAAATTTGCTTGCTCTGTTATACATTATTTTACTTTTAGTGTTCTTTTGACTATTCCTAGGTCATTTGTCTGTTCTTTTCCATCAGATTACAAATGATGTGATGACCAGGGATATTAGCAAATAAAGTGTTTTCAAAAGGAAATAACTTATAAGAGCTTTCTATTAGGATTTTCCTTTACTGATATCATCAGTCAGAGACTTTTTCATTAAGCTGAGATTGCTGTATTTTAACAAACCTAATGATTTTTGTCTGCTATTTACCGTGCACTTGGCATGGCACAAATTTTTAATTATAACTACAATTTTAAAGGGAGGGCTAGGCCCTCCCTGGTGGTGCAGTGGGTAAGGATGCAGCACTGCAAGCTGGCTGCAGTTGCTTCAGGGCAAGTTCTTTTCCCTAGCCCTGGAGGTGACCCACATGACGTGGCAGACCTTTCCTGGCCCACCCACTGCTCCCCTCAGCAGTGTACTGCATCAGTCTGCCTGTTCTGTTCCCCACTCTGTCTCTGGTGAATTCTCTCACTGCCCTGCACTATGGCTGTACTCCAGTTCCGTATGCATAAATAAATAAATGAACCTTAAAAAGAAAGAAAGAAAAAATCAAGCTTAAAAAAAAAAAAGAGGAGGGCTAATGTGCAGCAATGAAATAACTTGGCAGAAACAAGTCATATAACTTACATTTTGAAAAAGAACTTTTGGTTCAACAAATATTTTCATGAAAAGTTGTCATCAAGATATATATCTGCAAAAATAGTATAAATCACCAAAGGGCCAAAATTAATAAATTTGCACGTGGTTATTTCTTATCTATGAACATAAAGCTGCTAATTATGGTGCTGATCCATTCTTTGAAATTAATGCAAAAAAAATGTTCTGTGCAGGATGGATTTTTAAACATTGTTGAAGATTTTATCACAATTGCATTGATGAATAAGCTATAATTTAAGGAATATGAGCTTTCTGGGGGATGGAAGAATCTTTAAAGAATTCTAAGGCATTGGCTGACACCTGCAAACATGTGCCATGTTCTTTAATACAACTTATTGTTATTGTCCATCTTTATTATTGAGAAAAAAAAAAGAAATGCTGGGATGAAATGTGT